AAATAATTGTTATTTCTTAAAAATATGTCATTTCTTTACTTAACTATGTATTTCTTATATTATTTGCAATTGATATTTACTAAGTACTTTTAATTTTTTATTTAGTAACTACAAACACTACATATTACACTACAAACACTATAAATTACACTACAATTACATTCAGATTGAAAAAAAAAACAAAGAAAAAAAACCAACAATAATAACTACAAAAAAACGAAATACATTCACATAAAAAATGAAATCCACAAAAAAAAAAACCAAAAAAAAAAAGACAGCGACAGCAAGAGGCGTACCTGACACAGACCAAAATACGAAACAGAGCGAGGAAGATCTCAAGGCAACAAGGGCTTCCTCACAGCAAATCGACGCTGTGAGAGCAAAGCCAAAAGGAGGCGGTTGGGCTGGGAACGGCTACGAGCAGAGAGGAGAAGGAGAAGGAAGGAAGGAGAGCCTTGTGCTCGCAAGGCGGACCAAGGGCTTATAAAGCCCTATTTTTTTTGCGACTTATAAAGCCCTATTTTTTTGCGACCGATTAAAAAGTCAGTTGTAATTTTTAATGATGAGATAAAAATTGCGACTGACTTGCGACCAATACAATCGGTCGCAAATCGGTTGCAGAATGAAAGCTAAATTTGGCACTGAACTGCAATGCCCAATTTTGTTACAAGCTTTTAAACGGTCGCAAATTCATCGTATAATAGGTCGCAAATGCGTCACAATGGGGCCGCAAAATGAAAACCAAACTGGCGGGAATTATTGGCACTAGAATTAGCGACAGATATTATATCGGTCGCAAATCTGTCGCCGTTTAATCGCAAATCCATCGCTGGATATTCAACCTCCCAATCATCGCAATATTGGGACCAATGTGCGTCGGTCGCAAAAATCGGTCTTAAAAGCGCGTTTTTTTATAGTGTATGATCACACTGACAGTCCTACAAATAGCATAACAACAGCACTCACAATTATTAACAACTTCACATAATTACATCACGTGAAAATTGGTCTATGGTGTCACCAAAACCCCCGATGAGCCGTCCTCCCCCCGATGAGCCGTCCTCCGAGCCGACCACAAATGAACCATCCTCCCATGAATGTGTGCACCAGGGAGCGATCTCTCATACCCATGGCCGACCGGTCTCAACCTCAACTTGAACCAAACCCTCCCTCATCAGTTCATTTCTTTCATTTCAATCATTTTTTTTTATACTCTTTTTCTTTTTCCCATACCAACAGGAGGCACGCCTGTGGTTTTCCATATCATCCATATTTATCATCAACAGGCACATAGACGCCGATCTCCCATGAACGGTGGCCCGACGGTTGCAAATTCCATAATTTCATCATTTTCAGGACGTCCTCACAACCCATTGGTGACCCACTTATCCCAATTCCACACAAACAAAGGCATCATAACATTTTTATAACATCAAATAATCAAAGCATTCAATTAAAAATGCAAGCACATGCAAACATTAAATATCGTGATGCCAACTCTTACTATCTATGTCTACAGGAATCTCCCCCCTAGAAAGAAATGTCATCCATCACCTCTTCCATCTGATATTTCTCCCCTTGAAGAGGTGACTAGTAAGGAAAATAAGATTCAAACTCCCAAAAGGTAACATCTATACTCACAAAGTATTTCCTAGAAGAAGGATGATAACACTTGTATCCTTTTTGAGTAGTAGAGTGACCAACAAACACGCACTTCAAGGCTCTAGGTGTAACACCCTCCGACCGATCCCGTGAGACTCGACGACGGATGCCACATTCGGTGTCGGAGACACCGTCTTAACTTAACATACAAATCATAAAATTAGATTATGAATTAGAAGGAATTAGAAGTAAAATTTGAGTATTCACAAGTTTAAGCGAGTAATATGTTTTTTTTTTAAATTAGATAATCATTTCATTTCGTTTTCATCTCTTTTTTTTTAAAAAAATAGATTTGGGAAAAATCCTACAGAAATACTGTAAGAAATTTCTTTTAAAAACTGAGCTCGCTAAACATGGAAATACAAAACACTGTCTCCCAATTAAATTCCAAACTCCCAACAATCTCCAATAATCAATCATAAACAACAACACCCCTCCATATTTTCATAAGACTATATAAATCCTCCATCAATTAATTGCAATTCAAGTATATATATCAAAGTCTTAATAAACTAAAATCACTACCAACTCCTACTTGAAATATTTTATATTCAATCCATTTTAATAGAATCCTTTATGCTTATCTCCGAATATACCAACATAATTGGCTATTACATGCTTAGTTTATAATTCAAATAACACAATCTCCCGAAAAAATATAATACTTATACATGCCATAAATTCTTAAATTACATATTAATTACATAAATCTCAATCTACAACTACCATAATAGTCACTTCTGCTCTGATGCTACTCTTCTAGTCTTCAAGCAGCAACCACAGTCTTTAACCTGCACATGATAAAAATCAACACGCTGAGTGTAAAACTCAGTGGTGCTCATAATTCACATACTTACTAAATTTGCGATGACAACTTACTTAAAACACAAATTACTTAAAATCATTAAATTTCAACATACATTTACATTTATAGCAAAAGAAATATCAAATAAATTATTAATTAATAATATAAAGAATTTAATTCTTTCAACTCATAAATTCATTACTTGCCCATTTATTATACCAATACATATACTATTTATTTTTTAAAACCATGTACCGGAATATCATGCTTTGAAAATTCATTTGATAACATAATCATTAATTGGATAACATAATCATTAATTTCCACAAATAAGTTTAGCTAAAAATAATATGATCTCATTCGTTTAATTGGCCTTACAAAATATTTCCAAGGAAGCTTGCATAACACCTTAGGGAAGAAAAGAGAATATAAGCAGATTTTTTTTTTTGGGATTTTTTTGTGGCCTTATGTAGCGCAACCCCATCACACAATTGTGGCCTATGAAAGCGCTACCCCCCATCAACTCACACAATCGTGGCCCTATGAAAGCACCACCCTCATCACAGACAAAAATAGCGCGTACCGCCTATTTAATAAGGGCTGATAGACGCCTAGCATATGATTAGCACAAATGCGTGGCCTATGGAAAGCGCCACCCCCATCACACAATCGTGGCCTATGAAAAAGCACCCCCCATCACACAAATAAGCGCGTCCGCCTATTATAAGGCTGATAACCCTAGCATGATTGCATCAATACTTCTTAATCAATAATGGCATCAATGTTCGAGCATGCTCATCCAAAACATTACTAAAATCAAAATCTCACATCAAAATTCACGGCCAAGTTATATTAGAGCCGCAATCCTTATTTAGGATTTTGGAGGGCTAAGATTAAGTCAAAAGTAATCTCATCTAATGGCTAAAAATATTCTCACCAATTCAATTTCCTTCAAATATTATTTATCTCCCAAAATTTTTCTCAATTACTCCATAAAATAATTTCTCAAATTTCCATTAATTAATAAAGCATCATAATTCACTATCACTAATTATCTAAATTCCTCAAAAAATATTCATTACTTACTTTCTAATCCATTACTTTCTATCCATAAAAATCATGCATACATACTCCAAAAATATTAAAGAAAATATAAAACATATATAGTAATTTTTCCGGACCAAAATAATACCGACTAGCTCCCGGACCGGTAGTACTATTCACAGACCGGTAAATCACTTTCTATTCATAATTATACTCAATATCTTCCTCAGATCTAAATAAAATATTTCCTCTCTCTGTAACACCATTCATGACCCGATAAAATAATATCATTTTAAGATTCGAAAATTTTGGGGCGTTACAAAACCTCCCCTAAAATTTGATTAATCCACAATTCAATAATAAATTCTCAAAGTCCATCCATCGGGCAATTCACCTCAGCTCATCCCATCCGCCATAACCATATTCATCAATCATTTGATCTCTTAATTCACACATATATACACTTAATAATTTCATAGCAATTAATTAACAAATTGTATTAACATCCGAGCATGTTCCAATGCTATTATTAATTATTCTATAACTAATTATCAAATACCTAAACAATTTATAAATAAAACTTATTTTGCCAAGTTAAATACATGGTTAAGTTTTTAGTTCTTTGCAAAAACTCGTGAGTTATGGTTAGTGCCAAGTGTTAGGACTATTCCCATTGTAATAGATTTTGCTCTTGCCCTTAAAAAGAGTTTGATAATGGAGGATTTCAAGATGGTTTCTTGAGGAGAAGATGTAGGCGTGAGAAGTACATAACCACTATAATTTTTGTTGTTGATTTTCTCATATTTTCCGTCTTTATGATATTGCTTGACTTTTCACACTCACACACTTTAAATCTTAATGATATGGTGTTATCTTAATTATTCAATCATTCCATGTTTTGATTTGTCGAATCTTTGTAATTAATATTGATTTAAATTAAAAATGTTTATGAGTTGCAGGGTTACCTAATTTAGTGAGCTATTTTTAAATAATCTTTATTAAAAATGTTTATGAGTTGCAGGGTTACCTAATTTAGTGAGCTATTTTTAAATAATCTTTATTTTTAGATAATCTTTCTGCTTAAGTAAGTTATATAATTTTAAAATTTGAAAATTATTTGAATAAAATTGTGCTTCTGCTTTGCTTGAAAAAATATCTTTAAAACTCTAAATTTTTATAAATCACAATTCACCCTCTCTTGTATATAACGCATGAGGACCTACACAGTAAAATTAAAATACGTGTGAAATGTTACAGTTTATATTATTTTATTATGTATAATTAGTGCAATAACTCTTGAAATACCATATGGGTCGGGTCGGACCATTTGGTTTAGGTAATCAAAAACTTGGGGAAATAAAAAAAAACAACTGCAATTAATCAAAATTCTCAATTCATTTGGTTTAGGTAGTCAATATTTTGACTTACAGCTAAATTTTTCTCCTATATTTTTGCAGTTTGGAACATAGTTTGGAACATAATGGCTTTTAGCACAATTTAGTTAATAAGTTCAGTGATCTTCGGTATGGATAAACACTCAACTCAAGAGCTTCTTCTTTCAAATGGAAATCTCCAAACGACAGATTATGTTAGTAAAGAAGCTGTCGTTTTCTCTTTAATACTCAAATGGATTCTTAAGATTGCAATGTTGGCAGCTTTCATTGCTTGGCTTACTGTTGTTTTCATGTATCCGATAAAATCATTTCAAACATGGCTTAAAAATTGGAATCAAGCCTTTGCTGATTCTTTTCTTGGCTTTACAGGTTAATTAGCTTCTTTTTTTCTTTGGTTAATTAGTTCTAAAATTTTTTTTTTTTTCTTCTTTTCTTTGGTTAATTAGTTCTAAAATTTTGTATTGCAATTTGCAGGAGGTGTATTTCTGATATTCAATGGGCCACTCATCATTATTGCATTACTTTCTATACCATACCTTACCCTTTGCTCCAGGGAAGAGGAGCTCCAAAAGTATGTTTTTAGCTACACACAATTCATTAGGACAAAATTTCCTATGTTTTTATGTCAACTTCATCTTAATTTCTTATGGTATTGGGAGTTAGAATGCAGGGAGAGGGAGTAGGGTTTTCAGTGTGCCACTGTGTTCTGATTCGTTTTTTCTGGGTTTGAATAGTTTTTTCTGGGTTTGAATAGTTACATTGACAAAGATAAAGGGGGCAGGGGGCCTTGTCCCCAAGCTCCCTAATGAAATAGTCTCTACTGCAATGAATCATGAGCCCTAAGGATAGACATTTGGCAAGCAGATATCAAAGCACACTGAGAGTCCTTTAACTCCCAACCTGCACCTGCACCTGCAAATGTAGATTTATGCTTGAAAGATGCTTTTGTACTGCATTATAAAAATCCCACAGCAAGCCTTTTCAATAAAACAGCTCGAGCATTTCCATTCACATTAGATTTGACCTGTAAAACCTAGGCCTGCTACCAAGAACAAAACTAGGTAAAACCTATATTTAAGGCAAAAGCAGCAGATGATCTACAATTCTGCCAAACAATTGAGTTCCTATGCTTCCATAGTATCGGGATAACCATGCAAAAATAACCATGCAAAACACTTGAACATCCGAGTCGGAGAAAACATTGAACACATTCAACAAACCGTTCACTGTAAAATCATGTTGCAACTCATAAATGTCGATAACACCAACTAGAACATGGTTCCAACGTTCTCTCACAAATTTAGAGTCAACAAACAAGTGCAGTAGAGATTCATCGAAATTCTCAACACCCACCCTCAATATTAGATTTTTTATTTTCGGAGGAAGTTTCAAGTTCCAAACAGAGTCCAATAACGTTTTGTCACGCCTCGACTCTAAACACCAGCTTACAGGTAAGTGCTTGCTCTCGGGGTCAACGGATGTGTGCTAGCCTTCGTCCATGAGGCTTCGTGGGCTTCAGAGGGGTCAAGGCCCAGTTCAAGCCCACTTGACTTGTGCAATCTGGCCTGGCCCACTTGATAGAGTGGCTTTTAGTTGGGATGACTGCTATTTCATCTACTAGGCATATGCAAAGAAATTATAGGATTAGCATGGTTCGAAAGCCACACAATTTAGCATGGTTCGAAAGCCACACAATCATTCTAGAAATTAGAGACAGAAATCACCCAAGGCTACCTCTTGATCACAACTGAAGAAACAAGATTAAATGCTGCTTGAAATGCTATCTCTTTTCCAGATATAACTGGTTAGAACCTCGATTCAAGCATTTAACAAAGAAGAAGAAGGGTAGTAATGAGAAAACACGTGCAATAATGAGAAAACACGTGCCATAATAGAATTTGGTTGAGTAGTCTCCAGACTCGTTTTCCCATAAAAACCCAGATTAAGGCCTCCATAAGATTTTGGGCAACACATAACTTCCCATCTTAGCCATATAATACCTCTAGAATCATTCGATCCATTGATTCAATATATAATAAGACATTTGAGGTATTTGCATATGTATTAATGAAGCAATTTTCTTAAATTTTAATAAATTATTTATCTCAAAATTAAAAATAATGTAATTATTTTATATAATATTGAAAAAATATTATTTAATAAATGATAAATTTTTTTTGTTTTTTTTTTTTTTCTTTTAACAGGAAAGGGGGAGCAAAAAGAAGAGGTCACGGACTGGGGACATTCCCAATTGTTGTGGATGGACCTTTTGGTGTAGTTTCTGCGGCAGAGTTCATTGGGATTCTAGTCTTTCTCGGATATATCGCATGGGTTGCTTGCATTTACGCTGTGCAGAAGATCAGTGTCATTTTTACAAATCCTGAGTATACTATTGGAGACAAATGGTACGGTTTTGTCTTTCTCTTTTTAATTCTATTTTATTTTATATATAATTTATTTTATATCTCAGCCTAATCATTACGCTACGGTTAGTAAATATTGATTATTTATTGACCTTATCTTTGTGGCTTTTATTTTGTAATATTGTATTATTTTCGTTGCGGCCTACGTAACTAACTGCCAGTCCAAGGCAAGTAGATTAGTCGGCAGTTGCCATTCCCTTAGTTATAGCTAACAAACTTGGAGTTGGAGTAAAATATATCCAACTAACCATAGCTAACAAACTTGGAGTTGGAGTAAAATATATCCAACTAACCAGAAAAAAAGGGTAAACAAAAATTACTTAAACTTCTCAAATATCTATCTGAAGGTAGAGTATCATGCTAATAAAGAGTGAAAAATGATAATTGAGGGATAAAATAGAATGGTAGAGATGTTTTCTCCCTTAACTAGAAATTTCGAGTTCGAGACCTGAATATAAAATTCTTTTAAACACTGAATATAAAGTACTTTGCTTTTTTTTGTGAACTTGTTCGTTGTGAATCTAAATTAATCGGACAAGTGGATTTTAAAAACTAAATGGTTAAAAAAAAAAAGTGAAAAATGATAAACCAATGTCATAGGTAAGAATTTCCTTGACAAGAAATACACTAAAATCGTGTTAGATTTTTAAAAAAATTGCAAATTTCAGGGTGTATCGAGTTAAAATTATGTTAGATTTTTAAAAATAATTGTTGAATTTGATGGAAATAAAAGGGTGTGTTCACTTGTAGAAAACTGGAGTAGTTTTCTAAAAAAGTTTTCTAAGAAAATTGAAAAATAGAATTTTATATTCAAATCAGTCAATTTTCTATTTGGAAAACTAAAAAACAGTTTTCTAGTTTTCAAAATTTTAACTAAGATTTGGAATTTTTAGAGTTTTTCTTTATAATAAAAGACATGTTTTCCACTTTTTTAAAATGAGATTTTCATAATTAAAATTATAATATTTATAAATCCACTTTTTTTTTTAAAATGAGATTTTCATAATTAAAAAATTATAATGTTCTATAAATAACTTTTTTTCTTATAAAATATTTCATTTGAAAAAATTAAAAATATTTGGTTTAAGTAAAATACAAAAAAAAATTTTTTTTTATATTACTTGCCTTTAATAAATAATTAATTTTATTATATATAAACTATATTATACCTTTATTTTTTAAAACAAATTTTTACAAAATCGGATAAAAAATGATCATTATTATTATAATAATAATTAGTAAATATTTTAAAAACTTTTACATACAAAATTTTCTAAATTATATTTTTAATACATTATTTTATTTCTTATTACTAATTAATAAAAATATATAAAAATAATAGATAATTGTGAGTTAAAATATAAAAAATATTACTTTTTTATCCATATAGGGATACAATTTTCCAATTTTCTAAATATTTTCATTTATTAATAAGAAATGTTTCATTAAACACAGCAAAATAGAGAAAAATTATTTAATATCTATAAGAATAAAATGTACATCAAGGAATTCCATAATATATCCACAATATTTCACACACATAAGGAAATTCAGAATGATAAGAGTATTATAAATAGAATGGTGAGCACTTATTTTTTATATTTATAAGCATTTTTAATTGAAATTTTTGAATTGAGAATCAAATTAATGATTTTTATATATACAATCAAAATTTAATCTCATGAATATTGAATAAATTAAAAGATTTCTAAATGAAAAAATTAAAAAACGATGAGGACAAAGAAAGGGGGGGGGGAGGGGAGCGCGGGGGGTGGGGGGGGGGGGGAGAGGGGCGGCGCGCGCGGGGGGGGGGGCGGAGGCGGGCGGGAGGGGGGGGGGTGGGGCGGGGGGGAGGTGGGGGAGGGCGGGGAATTTATTTTATAATATTTTATTTCTTTTACTTATAAAAATTATAAATAATGTTTGTGAAGTTAAATTAAAATATTACTTTTTTTATTATTAAGGGAACAGATTTTCCATTTTCTAATTTTCATTTTCTAAAAAAAATGTTTTCTTAAAACACAGAAAATAGAAAAAAAAATTATTTTCTGTAAGTAAATGTATCAAGCATTTCTTAGGATTTCCACATATTCCACTAGAATTCAATGTAAAGTTTTATAGAATTAGTGAGACTTTTTTTTATAGATTTTAATTGACTTTGATGGAATCATAATGATTTTTATATATACAATCAAAATTAATCTCATAACATAATTGAATAAATTAAAAGATTTCTAATTGAAAAATTAAAAAACGACGAGGGACAAAAAGATGTGCCATATTCTCCAAAATCATTTTTTTCTTTGTTAAAACCTTATTGTCATGGACAGTAAAAGACTGCAATGGCCAGCATCGTGGTTGCCCATCCCGCCCTCCTAGAACAGTCGTGATGTGGTTGGAAGACCACGGGCTTCTCATCTCTTAACTGAACAGTGATCATTAAGGGTGAGCAAACAGTCGATTCAGTTCAAACCGAACCGAACCAATAAAAAAATATAAACTGAAGTTTTTTATCAACAGAACAAATCGAACCGAATCGAATTTCCCTTCTAAATCAAATCGTATCGAATCAAATCAGTCAAATCAGTCAATTTTGATCCGTTTTTCATTTCGATTCGATTTTAAGGATAACTCATAGATTTTTATGAAATCCACTTGAACAGAATAATAAATTCGGTTCAAACTGAATAAACCGTCAATTGAACTTTTCTTGATTTAGCTGATCGAATCGAACCTAAATGAGTCGGTTTAGTTTTCAGTTTGGTTTGGTCGGTAAGTTTGCACACCCCTAGCAACCGTCTCGCCGGAAAGCAATACAACAAAATGTTAATAGACAATGTTAATAGACTCCAAAAATACAACAAAATGTTAATAGACTCCAAAAAATATCTAGATTGAACACTATTTGAATTTAAGATATTTTAGAATCTAATAGAGTCTTAATAATACACCCTTGATTTAAACTAGTCCTTGTACGCTAAACAGGAGAAGATCCACCTTTTAGCTTGAGGGATCCAAGAAATTTAAAAGAAAACTTTCATTATAAAAAATTATATTTTCATTATATGTTCCTCACTAAAATAAAATAACTTAGCGGAATTCAATTATAACGCTGCATTTTAGCGAATGATATATTTATTATTAAAATGTGAAAGTGTAGAGTTATGATGAGTTTACTATGAAATTCAAGAGGCTACAAAGATAATCGCTAAAAATACATAATCAAATTTATGCATTGGACCATAATTTAATACTATTTACAAATGATTATTTTCACAATTTTTTAAAAATGATTTTACATGATTTTACAGTTGAATTGGAAATTTAAGAATTGATGTTTATTTATTTTTTTTTTTATGTCAACCTGATTTCTTTTAACCTTGCCTTTTGTTACAAGTAAGTTATAATCTTCTAACGGGAGACATTAATAACTGAAGTAATTTCTAAATACAAAAAAAAAAAAAATGCAACTACAACAAACGAGCCTCAATGACATCATTTTTCTTCTCAAATGATATTTTAAATTTTTTAATATAAACATCATACTTTTTTTTTTTAGTATCATAATTCGGTAGAGTTCTTTTAACTACGTTACCTAATAAATAATGTATAGTGCTATATATAGCAATAGAAATTTTTTTTTTTTTTTTGAGAAGAAGCAATTTGGTTTTTTTTTTTTATTAGGTTATTTGGACGTTTAAGAATTCGGCACGTGGAATTTGGAATTGGCAGGGATATTCTTGCTTTGGCATTTCTGTCTTAATTCCCGGTTGGCGAGAAGCTCGCTTCTCTCTGCCTGTAAAATATCCCATCGAGCTGCCAATTAGATACCACATATGGCTTGGCCATCTCTTGTTATGGTTCTCCTTTCTCTTTACTTTCCATGGTCTCTTTTACGTAATTGGATGGTTCATGTCTGGAGAAATTCCTTCTGAAGTGAGTATTTTTATATTATATTGGCTTATTGTTTAAATTTATTCAGCATTGTAAACTAGCTAACCGAGTAAAATTTTACTGAACTCAAATTTGGCTCATTAAAAATATTATAAAGATTTTTAAAAAACTAGGCACTAAGTTTAATTCATTGTATATGAGCTAAGTTCTGAAATTACCACATTTACAGTTTATGGTTAAAAAAAATATATATTGTGACTTGTTTATTTTCTTAAATTCGAACTCGAACTATGGTTCACAAGTTTCATTTCATAGTTCGGCTCGGTTTATTAATTAAACGAGTTTTGTAAGCAGGTTTGAACTCAATTCTTAAAACTTATTGAATGAGCCAAGTTTCGAGTAGTTCATAACGAGTGACTTTACACGTTTATATTAGTAAATTTATATTCTGAACCTAGCTGTGTATATGCATATGCAGCTAATAGCATGGGATGCTACAGATGGAGCAAACCTTGCAGGAATCATCAGTATTTTCTTTGGTTGGTCAATTTGGATAACATCACTTCCTTTTGTGAGACGAAAGATTTTCGAGTGTTGGGAAAATCGCTATTTTTCCCGCCCTTCGGATCGGCTTCAAGCAGGAACAAATGAGAAAATAAAATAATGACTGAGAAATTAAAGAGAACAATTAAAGAAGAACAACGATATTTTAACGTGGAATTAAAACTCCCCAAGTGGAGAAAAACACGACCGTTGTCAATGACAACCATGACCAAAAATATCACTATGCGGCAAATTGGTTACAACCACAATTACAAAATATTTTCTACCCGACACCCTCAAAACACCCAAATATTTTAATTACTCCAAAGGGACTGCCAAGAGACTTGCTCCTAATCTCCCTAATATAAAAGCACATTCCAAGTATTTTAGTGTGTTTTGGTTGTGATTAGAAAGGCTAAAATTAGCTTTCTTTTATAACCAATACCTACAACCCTCCATAGGACTTCAAATCTCAACCGATGTGGTGATTGAGTCAATACATTTTTAATATTTTTTCCTTTTATTTTCAACAAAAGTGCTAACAA